CTTTTAGTTCTTTGACGTCTTCTTCTTCTTCTTTCTCGGTCGTGATTTTCACAAAGATTTCTTTGTCTTCTTTATCAACGCTAGTTTCATCTTCCTTTGGCGGCGTCGTTGAATCGCTTGGTTTTTCGTCGATTTCTTCTTCTGTTTCGATGATAGTTACTTGATCTTCTTCCAACGGTTTCTTTTCTTCCTCTTCCGTAGCAGTTAATTCATTAGTTTGTTTTTTCGTTTCGACATCTGTTGTTATGATTGTTTTTGTTTCTTTAATAAATGTGGTCTCACCTGTAATTTCTAATTCAACTGCAGGCTGTTCAACTGTCTCTGTCGTGACAATTATTTTCTTCGGTTTTAGTTCTTCGACGTCTTCTTCTGCTTCTTTCTCGGTCGTGATTTTCACAAAAATTTCTTTGTCTTCTTTATCAACGCTAGTTTCATCTTCCTTTGGCGGCGTCGTTGAATCGATTGGTTTTTCGTCGATTTCTTCTTCTGTTTCGATGATAGTTACTTGATCATCTTCCAACGGTTTCTTTTCTTCCTTTTTCGTAGCAGTTAATTCATCAGTTTGTTTTTTCGTTTCGACAACTGTTGTTATGATTGTTTTTGTTTCTTTAATAATTGTGGTCTCACCTGTAATTTCTGATTCAACTGCAGGCTGTTCAACTGTCTCTGTCGTGACAATTATTTTCTTCGGTTTTAGTTCTTCGACGTCTTCTTCTTCTTCTTTCTCGGTCGTGATTTTCACAAAGATTTCTTTGTCTTCTTTATCAACGCTAGTTTCATCTTCCTTTGGCGGCGTCGTTGAATCGATTGGTTTTTCGTCGATTTCTTCTTCTGTTTCGATGATAGTTACTTGATCTTCTTCCAACGGTTTCTTTTCTTCCTCTTCCGTAGCAGTTAATTCATCAGTTTGTTTTTTCGTTTCGACAACTGTTGTTATGATTGTTTTTGTTTCTTTAATAATTGTGGTCTCACCTGTAATTTCTGATTCAACTGCAGGCTGTTCAACTGTCTCTGTCGTGACAATTATTTTTTTCGGTTTTAGTTCTTCGACGTCTTCTTTTTCTTCTTTCTCGGTCGTGATTTTAACAAATATTTCTTTGTCTTCTTTATCAACGCTAGTTTCATCTTCCTTTGGCGGCGTCGTTGAATCGGTTGGTTTTTCGTCGAATTCTTCTTCTGTTTCGATGATAGTTACATGTTCCTCTTCCAACGGTTTCTTTTCTTCCTCTTCAGTACCAGTTTGTTTTTTCGTTTCGACAACTGTTGTTATGATGTTTTG